TCTTTCGTTTGATATCATTTTTTTGAAAATCTAACACTTAACCTGCTCATGGGGGGGATTAAAAATAGCAACTTTTTTACAAAAACTAACTTTTTCAACTTAATTTTTGAAAATGTTTTCAAAAATGGAATTTGAAAACGGCGTTCAAACTTTGAAACATTGTATAAAAAATAGAACTTTTTCAACTGAACTTTTGAAAATGTTTCGAAAATACTGCGTCCTTTAAATATATATCAAATTAAAGCTTATTTTATGCACTTAAAAACGAAAAATAAAATTTGTCCCGACACCTTATCTTCTATGTGCAAATTGCTGTCGAATTACTTTGCAAAACTTACAAGTTTGAAATTGACATTATTAAATAGAAAAAAATAAAATTGTTAAGATTAATATGCAATCAAGAAATTTTATAATTACTATTTACAGTACACTTATCAGAAAAGTTCAATTTTTTTACATTTTTATCGTAATAGATCACTTAAATAAAAATTACAGTAATCATTTCTAATTAATTTTTGGTGTTTAAAAAGATTCTACAATGGATATATTCAGAATTTAATTAATTTTAATGATTATATATCTAAAAAAAAAAAAAAGTTGTTAAAATGATTTACTCAATTGAGTGTATTATAAAATTCGATTATAATTGTTAAAATCCATCATTAAATTCAGGTGAAACTAAAAATCTTTTTTTTTAAATTAATAATTTATATAGTAACATGTTACAAAAAAATTATAGACTGGTAGTAGCACACACAAATGGAGTTAAAAATGAATAAATTACAAAGTAAAATGATTTACTTTTGTAGTTGAATACTTTTATCATATCAAATCTAATTCGACAATAAATACCATAAGAATATTAGAAATGATTGATTTTAATTGTATGTATGGAAAAAGTTAGTTAAGCTACTTTTTATTTGAATAAGGAATATATTTTCGATTTTTAAGAGTAATAACTTAAACTAATCATTAACTTAAATGAATCATTTGACGTATCGTTGAAAAAAGTAGGTCTAGTGAGTGTTGGCAAAATAAATCGTAGCCACAAAAAGAACCACATATTAAAAAAATATTAACATGAATATAAATTTCTTCTCACGAGGGGAGACTATAGATTTGTTAATATTTGAAAAAGTTATGGGAGTTTTAAGTACAAAAAACATTCCGATAGAAGGTGATTTTTATCGCAAACATTACATTTTTTTTTTAATTCGACAGCAATTTGCACATTACACATTCGTGTAATAAAATCTTTCTAGTGTTCTCAATGCAGCACGAGCTTCGGATATTGATGGCACAGTTTCAAACTCATCATCAAGCTCATCGATACAGTATCATTATACTGTATATGTTGATAACGTCGATTTTTACTTGTGACGTCCTTTTTGCTTTTCAGATTTTACGTTGAATTTTGTTGATAAAATACTTATTAATAAACCCATATTGGAGTGGTTTTTAAAATTTCACCATAAAAACTTGAAATTTTATATACAAATAACGAAAAAATCAACTTTTCTCATTTAATTTTTGTTGTATATGTATTAATGTGCTTTTCAATTCTTTATCTGCAGGATTAATTATCTAACCTCATCAATTAAGGGCAAAAATGGCTAATACCCATTTGGACTATAGTCAATTTGTATAATGGGTGGGCACAGCTATTTCTGTGTACTGTACTCATTTATGTACTCCGCTGATCCACCATTTTATTATAATGCTGTATCGAATTAACGGTCCATTGGATAAAATAATTATATTAACAAAATTTCAAGTTTTTTTTTATTCTACTTTAAAGTTAAAAAAACAGTTTTTTACCCGAAATGGGTGAATGAAAATATTTTACCGCATATTATCGTAGAGTTTTTTTTTAAATAGAATACTTTTTTTCTTTACAAAAATTTTAAATTTTCAATGCTTCCTAAAAAACTGAGTGTCTTACATAAAATCAATCTTAAAAATCTTAAAAAAGAAAGATAAAATTGTCCTTAATTAATATCATTTTCATACAAGCAATCAAAAATGAAGAATTGGATAAAATTTAATTTTTAGTAAAAATAATTTTTTTTCTATATTAAACATATTTTGTTGATCTGACTCATGGTTATTTAATACAAAAAAGTTAATAATATTTTATTTATCCTCTTATTTATATGTCATCACTAATATTTTCTTTTTTTTTTATAAAAATATAGTCATTTCAACTATAGAAAAACATAAAATCTACTTATTTTAAATAACATATTTAGAATCAATTATCATATGATAATTATACAAAATTTAATAACTTCAATAAAATTGTTGGAAAATAATATAAACTATAGTAAATTCTTAGTGAGCAATTATAACCCAATTGTTCCTTTCTCATGATTAAGTACTAATAATTGTATTTTTTTGTTAGCCTTGTCAATTTAACATAAAATTAATTCAAAGTCATTAATGTGAGCGATATTACCCATCGGGCAGTAAACGTACACTCTCCCCTTTATACATTAAGCAAAATTAAACAATGAACATAAAAAAAGTCAATAACATTCAAAAAACAAGATTATGTGAAAAATATAATAAAAATAAAATGTTTCCTATATATTTTAGTAGGTTACAATCTAATATCAAACTTGAAATTTGTTTCATAGGCACTATATATAATAATATATNTTAAATTTGATACATAGACACTGTATATAATAATATATTGTGTAAAAAGTTCATAGCTAAATAGTTAAATTAATCTAGTAAAGGAAAAATTCAATTTAAAAATCAACATTTTAGAAATTCGAGTTTTTGAATGTGTCCTAATAAAAAACAGCGGAAATATTGATATTAATGAGATATGTTGGATTACTTCATAAAAAAAAACCATGAAAGTTTCAAATCTTTATAATAATATAGATATATTTTTACAAGTTATGTGTATTTCATCATTTAAAAATTTTGTTAGTTCTAAATCAATTTCTGTGCAAAATTTTATTTTTAAATTTTATTCGTTTATTCTAGGCATTCAGTGTACAAAGAAAAAAAATAATAATAATAAATAAATGATAGTAGTTGCGTGATGACATTAGATGATTCGATATGCATTTATAGTTTACGCAATAAAATTATTTTATCAATACAAAACGTTTATTTATATTTAAATAACCTGAATTAATCTCTAACGTCATATACTCATGAAAATTATTTTTTGGATTTTAAAAGAACAACAAAAACAAAATTTTATGTTAAAATATAGCAGTAAAAAAAAATAAAGAAGTAAAAAAACCTTGTTAAATATAGGGCATAAAGGGGGCTATTATAATTTGAAATTTGAGTGTGATTAAAACCGTAATTATACACCGCTTTTATGAGATTGTACTTAAAGAAAGTTCGATTATTTTGACCTTCATTGGTTGCTTAAAAGTTCAATACAAACTGAAATTTATCATAAACCACTAGAATTTATGTTATCAGGAGCAGGATAGACTCCTAAAACCTCCTTTAATATTATTGGATATGTAGTTACGAGAGGGCGTTTTTTTATGTATTTTGTTGTAACTGGCCAAGCCACTTGCACTACCACCACCAGTTATGCCAGAGACGTCATCGCTGTAATCACGTACGTCCCTGTTTTGCTACTGAAGTGATCCGATTGCGCTACACACCGGAAACTAGTAAAAGTGTAGTGTTTACTGCGCATTTTATCGTGTTTATTCTGTCCACCATTGTTAGCCCTTGCTGCGTGGTTCTTTGGTGCATCTTAGCCAATAGTCTTTTTTATTGACTAATCACCCTTGTGATTCGCTGTGTTTTTTTGAATTGCCCTATCAATTNATTCGCTGTGTTTTTTTTAATTGCCCTATCAATTCTATGCCCTTGTGCACCACACTTCATTGTTCGTGAAGTGATTCAATGTCATACATGATTCGTTCATCAATTTCTTCAATACATTCAGTCATTGTGTGAACCACCAGCCATAGGTCGATAAAACGAATATCATTTGTTTAATGAACTTTATTTTGTTGTTAACATATTGCACTTTTTAACAATTAGTAAGTGACTCCTCCCTCATAATTAATCCTATTGATATTTTATATTTATTATTATTTTAATATATAAACGTTGTTTTGCAATTATTTTAATTTCTGCTAGTGTAAGTACCATCCTCAATTTCATATACAGTCCACCTTCTTTCCCAAAAAACCACACACATAATCGCATCTAACCCGAAGTATAAACTGGGCGATCGATTATACAAATATGCTTATTAAATGTAACTCATGAAAAAATTCTATCTAAAAGTATTTATATTTGACAACACTTATAATTTTAAACAAATCTTATTGTTTTTTTAGGGGGCCTAATTTAAAAAATAGGTATATTGGCCCTCTATGTATGTCTATACTGTTTCATAAAAATTAAAGGTAATAATAATTATAAGAAAAACTTTTGAGTAAAAATAGTAACTAGACAAAATATAGCAGTTTTTCTTTTAGCTACATATTTTTTAAATTTAGTAATTGTGATGACCGATTGAGAGCAATTTGTTTGGTTGTAATGCGTATTATACTATGACAGAACATTTCAAGATTTGTTATAATTTGTATAACAAATAATGGGCATCAATTTATTTATATTTTTTTACTAGAACTTATAATTTTCAAATATCATTATTCTAAAAGTCTAATTTTAAAATTTATTTTACGTAGTACTTTTGAAAGAAGCTATAGTTTCAACAACAAGTAGGTCATGTAGTTACTGCATGGTAAATTCATAAACTAATTCGCATTAAATTNGTTATAGTTTCATCAACAAGTTGGTCATATAGTTACTGCATGGTAAATTCATAAACTAATTCGCATTAAATTATACTTATTATATCTTATTACGAATCTATTTGCTAAAAGCATATTCAATTAGTTATTACAGATATAAGAGTGGCGTCATAAATAATCTAAATAAAACTTTTGGATCGTTTAAATTAAGCTTATTTTTCTATAAAATGAGCTTCATTTTGCTTTCTATAAGTACTTTAAATTATTTCAATTTAAACAAATCCAAATTTTTTTTTTCAAAAATATTTATAACATCATTAAAAATATTTTTATTGGCTTCAAATATGTTCAATAATAAATTTGTTCTATTACTCTTTGTTGTTTATATATCAAATGAATTTACAGGTAAAACTTTTTTTTAAATTTTTTCTTATAACTATTATGCTCAATGTTTAAATATTTTGTTTTTGTCATGGATTTTAATGTTTTTATTTATTTTAATGTTACAAATATATCAATAATTAATAGAAGTCTTTAATAAATGATAAAAAAACATTTTTTTTTTATATAGTTTTCAAATACTAGTTCTTTAGCCTGTTAAATATTTATATTATGTTTGGTTACTACGCAGTAAAAGAAAAGAAAAGTTATACTATGTTTGGTTAAATATTTTTAAATCAAGTTAAATCAAGACTCGAGTTCTGTTATCTTTAGGAAGTTGATAATTTCGGTTTCTTGTCCAGGGGCTAATGTGTCTTTGAGTAAGCTTGTTCTGTTATACAAACATTTTCTAATTTTTGCTTTTGATATGGTTAGTTACTCGAGAAGAATATAGTAAATGGAGAGTTTATATTGACATGTTTCGATAAAGAATTTGGGTTCATTGGACTTAAAGTAAGCATGTGTCAGTATAGTGTAGGCAATGCATACTATTGTGATTGTGGTCTATTCATATTAGTTCATTCATTACCTGATATAGCAATATAAAATGGGATCTACATGAGTTGTATTGTTTTTAAGTATTATGTTTTGAGTTATGCGAGAAGGATAGTTTTTGAGGTGGATATTTTCAATCGACGATACTGTATTCATCGAGTTACTAAGGATTTTTTTTTAGATTGATATTGAGAGATGATTCTATGGCTATTAGGATAGCAAATAATAGTAAAAAAATATTATAGATTCTCGTTTAACTTTCAAAAGTTACCCCTAAAATCTTCCTTTAGAAATAATTTTTTCATAGAATAAACTTGATATTTACTATAGTTTATACAAATAAATCAAATTTTAATGTGTACATTTTTATGAAAAAATCATTATTTAACGTAAAAATGGGGGTATTATTCTTAACAAATCACACAGTTTAAATATTTTTAATGGAGAAAAATAATAAAAATACACATTTAACGTAGTTTAAAACTAAACAATTATTAAAAAAAAAAAATAATGCAAAATATTTGCTTGATCAAAAATCATTCATTATGTTATATTATGGTGGGATAATGTGTATAATAACAAATTGAATAATAATTTTCTTTGTTGTAAATTTATCAATGATAAATAAAAATCAACGAATAGCATTGGATACCACATGATGGTGGTATCATTTAGTTTATGAAAATTAAATGCATTTACTTATTTTATTATACTTTATTAATTATTCATTGCACTAATTAATATAATATTTTCAGGAGTTTTGAGTGATATCGGTAGACAATCTTTATTTGGAAAAAGTAATTACTTTTAATATAATAACTATAATATATAGTGGAACAGTGGTTTCATTTGTCAAGCGAGAGATAAATTCGGTAATTAGAGTCACTATCCCACTCTCTGGCGATGGACTAACCACTCATTCTGGAGTATCAATGATTAAGAAAACCTCTCCTATAGGTGGGGGTCACTATGACCATTAATTAGCCTAAAAAAAAATCCCTATTATAGCATAGTTAATTTCTCGTAATGCATTTTAAAAATCATCCTTGGTCTGGTGCTTTGTTGATCTTACGTTGATACTCACCAAAACACCCATGTCTTGTCGTAAATTGAGTTAAACAGAAGCTCATTTGATCATGAGCCCTCCACAACCATTTTTCCATATTATACAATAAAGATTTTGTCCATTTTGTCCAGTATTTCCATTTATAGCTTAGATTTCTGGGTTCAGAATAACGGGCCAAATAAGCCTGCTTTCTTTCCACCACCAGCTAATATGATAGAAAAAAAAAGAAATTATAAAAAATTTGTTCTTGTACATTTTGTTATTCAATTTATGGTTCATGGTTTAGTTTTGCAATTTGAGATAAGTTGGATAAACTGATACTTCTCTATTAATAAAAAAATATGGTTTTATTTTATTATATAAACTAGTTTTTATTGATTGAGATATTGTTATCCAAAAAAAAAATCTTATCTTTAATAACTCATGTAATTAATAGACGCAATTTTCTTAACTCTTTGAGTCTAGTTTTTTATCAATAGAGAAATTAATAAAAATTGTTTACAATATATATCATTGTAGAGTTATTTTAAACAAATAAAATCTCTTTACAAAAATTAAAAATTTTCAATATTTTTTGAGAAAATGTGTTGCTTACTCAAAATTGATTACTTTGTGTACAGAATTATGTTCTATGTAAATTATTGAACATTTTTGTTTTGGATAGCTTCTTAATAGGTTTAATAAAATTATTTTATTTTTATTAAATATACAGGATAAACCCTTTGAACATATATACATATTATACATATAAGTTATACATTAATTGTATAAATATGAAAAATAATAAATTAACAGATATTAAGTTAATTATAGGCAAAGAAGAAATGAAGGGTCAACGTTGGCATTTGACATCATACGTGTAATAGGCTCATTTTTAAGGTTATTAGTGGGGGCGAAAGGAACGACGTTGAGGAACTCTAAAACAGATTAAGGAAAGCAAATAGGAAAAGCAGATCCGTCTACGGTCAGCCAGCGAAACCAGTCCTATTTGAGAAGCAACTGATCTATAGTTGTGGGGCACACAAGGGATATTCAATCTAAAACTAGCATATCTCATAAATTTAAGCTGGACCCTTTCAAGTCTAGGAGAGTCATTAAGGTCATGCGGATCCCAAATTACGACACCATACTCAACAATAAGGCGAACCAGTGCACAATAAAGCACTTTGTGTGATAGACCTAACCGAAAATCCCTACATAATCTCAACACATACCCCAGAGTTTTAAAGGCCTTACAACAAATATGTGGGGTCTAGGATAAAGATCACTACTAAGAATAAATCTTAGATCAGATACAGTCATTAGAACATAAAAATCTCAGTAAATCCGAGATGATAAACATATTTGACAGGTGACTGAATCCTGGCAAAAGTCAACGTTTAGCCGAATTATAAGCAGAAAATAGGTTGAACGCAGTATTTTTAGATTCATAAATCATTTTTACTGGACGTATGAAATCCACACGGGATCTACCAAGGCAAATTAACTTAAATTTCACAGGAACAGCATTCTCCAGCGAACCGAGAGAATAAGATATAGTAAGTTTGTCATGTTCAATCCTTGTGGAGGTATCCGGTGAAGAAGACTCAGAACACCATATAAAATTAAATAGGTGAGACAACTTTCATTTTCAAAATTTTCTTGAAATACTTGAGATACAATAGATTGGGGATTCTCAAAGGGTTTGCTGCCCTCCAATCTAGCAACTTTACTCTTAAGTTCTTCAACTTCACCATGGAAGGTGGCATACGAGGTTTTAAGTTCGGATACTTCTTTAGTTAATTTTTGAAATTCCGATTTTAGTTCACTAAACTTCAAGTTCTAAGAGTCAGATAGTGCCTTATAGGTAGTGGAAATTTTCACCTTAAGAGCCTTAATTTCAGTCAATATATCGTCATTGGAAGTCGGGCTTTTAGGGGAAGATAGCTTGTTGTTAGCAGCAGTACGAGTGATAGGCATGTTAAAAATTTAACAAGTCAACAACGTTTCAACCGTTTAAGTCTCCAATAGAAACAGCTGGTAAGACCATAGCTAGTATTGATAAAACGGCTAATAATTATTAACAAAAAGTAATGATAACACGTACCAAATAACGATGTTCACTACGACTTGAGAAAAAGAAACAATGAAAAACTTTACCAAATTAGTATACAATTATGTAAATCGACGAACACCGCAACATGAACATTCAATAAGTAGTATAAAATTAATTGCACTAGTAACTGATATAACAAAAAAAAATTAATGCAACAATAAAGAGCAATAATTAGCATAGATGAAATTATATTAAATCCCTTTTATTTAAATTAATACAAAAACGTGTTTAAGTAGAGAGGAAACCGTATAATTTATATTTACCATTATAAACATAATGACCCTATATACTACTATGATATTTTTTAGGTATAATGAAAAGATTAAAAAGTTTGTTACCCAATAATAAAGTTTATGATAATCAATGGTGTCCACCGGGCAAGGAAAAAATAAGTAAATATTTTTATTATTAATTATTAAAAACGTGTCCTATCATTAGATTTATTTTAATTTTTGTTTTTTCCGCAATATATTTATGGAATATTAGATTTTCTATTAGAACATATTTATGTTAAATTCTTTAATATGATAAATTTCCAGTGGTTGAAATTCGCTATTTTCAATTTAATGGGCTAACATTAAATTTTAAAAAATAGTTCACTTCATTAATCACTACTTTTTTAAATATTTAGAAAGTAGTCTTTAATCTTTGAGTCAATTTTTTTATCGCTGAAGAAATAAATAAAAATATTATTTTACTACTGTAAGGTTTAGGCCATACCACAGGGCCTACTATTTACCAAGTGTCTAGGGGAAATACAACAATATCGGTACAGGTACACAGTGTATGGTCAGCTGATAACAATAGGATGACAGATATCGGATAGGTTCACTGGTGGAGATTATCACATACACAACTATCAAGAAATACTTTGCACTTAATGCACACACCACTAATTGATAAGATTTCTTAAAAAAAAACTAGTGTAAATTTTGCAACATTACACTACCTATTCAACAATTTTTTTATTAAATAATTTATCTCTATAAAAATTTAAAATGTTCGATATTTTCTAAGAAACTATGTTCCTTACTTAAAATTGGTCACTTTGTGTACGAAATTTGGTTCTTTGTAAATTACGAAGCATTTTTGTTTTCGTTTGGCTCTTTATCGTTCCACTAAAATTATATTAAACTATTTCTATTTAAATTAATACCAAAACGATATATATTTTATATTAACCATAATGACTCCTCATATATAACTTGATAACATTTAAAAAATGTGTGTACTAAAATTTTTTCTAATCAAACTCTTTGATTAATAATATGATACTTTTCAAAAATTATAAAAGGATTTAAAAATTTATTAGGTGATAGACATGATGAATTAGGCTGTCGACCAGACGAACAAATAATAAGTAAATATATTTTATTAATAGTTATTAAAAACGTGCCATAGCAGTAGTTTATTTTTTAATTTTTGTTTTATAAATATTAATATGTTCATAAGATACAAAATTCTGTATTAGATAATTGTTTTGTTCATTTATTTAATATGATAAACTTCTAGTGTTTGAAATTGGCTACTTTCGATTTATTGAATATATTGCTATCGCTACATTTTAAAAAAATAGTTCACTACATTAATCACTACTTTTTGAAATATGTAGGATCGTTATTACGTAAGCTTCTTTAAAGTATTGTAATACCTTTTGTGTGACATTTATAATAATAAATGTATATTAATTTAATATATATTTAATATTCCTTAAAAAATATATATAATTCGTTAACTAAATATTACTACACGTATTTACATTTAGTCTCTAATGAAAGACGTACACCAATATTTTTTCTGTAGCTCTCAACATAACCTAACTAATCTTAGGCTGACCATGACTTGAGACCACCATATTTTAATATCTAAATGCGATCTATTTTGAAAATCCATTTTGTCATATAGCAAATAACGAATTTGCTATATATTTTCAACTAGATTACTGATGATACCTTAAGTATACAATATAATATGTAGTTGTGTTTTAATATTGTAGCTTGCTACAATAATTAATTGACGAATACTGATTACTACAGTTTGTATTGTTTTAACAAGTATTAAAAAAAAATATGATAAGTACGACAACTAAAACATCTAAGTATCATTACTACTGAAAAACTAAAAAAATTGTATTAATGCTTTATTTTTATTGGATAAAAATTAATTTTTTCCCAATAGAACTATATAAAAATAAGTGTACTAACTTGAAATTGTTACAAGTACACCGCTACTTCCAATTATCAATCACTTTTCCTTTAAAATAGCTTGTCAGTAATATTATTCTATGGACCATTTACCTCTGTGAATAAAATCCTATATAAATCCCTGTATATCCTACTGGATGATTTTTTTCATAACCAACTCAAGTACTTTAAGAATAAAAATAATAGAACATTTTAGCTTCGATGCGAAGCTGAGAAGGTATTAATTTTACCATGATGTGTTTATTTTTTTTTTTATTTTTTTTTTTTTTTTTTTTNGTAAAGGGTGTAACATTGTATTTTCAAATGGGAACACATATTTTGAATATAATAAAATGTTTGACGTTTTCATTTAATATAATAAATAATTTTTATTTAATAGCAAATGGCGTTTGAGTTTTTAAAATGGCTTCAACCGTTTATTGTCAATTATGACTTTATTCACAGATTTACTTTAAGTATGGCAGTTTAAACAGGCAATAGAGAATTACTAAAACTTATTACTTTGTATTAAAATTAAAAGTGTTATCTAAAAATGATTATTCTAAATAACTATTTTTCACTCTGAATAATTTTTAGCTGACTCCCCAGAAGAATTTGAAAAAGTATTAATGGAAGAAGCCAAAAAACTCGGAAATTGTGAAGATTGCGGCAAACCTTTAATACAGAGTATTAAAAATATTACTAAAGAATATTTTAAAAATGGTTACATAGACAGCCATGAATTATTTAGATTTTTTAAAACTGAATTACCCATAACTACTAGTTGGTATACTGTTGAAACATGTGATTGGTATATCGAAAAATATGCAAAAGAAAACCCAGAAAAAGGCCTAAATGATTCTGGTAAGAGATAAGTTGTCTATTTTAATAGAAATGTTATAAATCTAGTCGAATTAATAAACTAAACTAATTCAGAATGATTCAAATTAATCGCGGTTATTATTATAATAATACAATAAACACAACTAGGGGCGTATTTAGAACTCAATTTAGGAGGTAATATAATTTTTTTTATTTTGGAAAGCACGTTAGAAACATTTTTTTGCTAAATTTCAAATTGATGACCAAATAAAAAAGTCTTTAAATTTTTTAATAATCCCTTTTTCATTCGACATACTTTATCTAAATCAGGATATTAATAATGAACTAGCAGATCATGTAGCTTTTGGAATAATCCACCCATTTTTTTAAATTAAACACTATCTAATGATTTGCATTGAAGCGTTTTTTTTTTATAGTGATTTTAATCACTGTCAAATATCATTATACTTGACCCATCTATGCCACGTCACCACTGTGCCGCGACCCCCCTGTGCTGGGTTTTTTTTATTTAAATCTCAAATGGATAGACCAGACAATTTTTATGAGAAATCAACTTGGCAATGAACAAACCTATAACTTCACGCTTCAAGCTAAAGTAGTTTACATAAAATTATCACGTTCATGTGAGCGTGGGATCACTGTTATATTTACTAAAAGTATTTTAAAATCGTGCGTCTATTTTTTTTTTTTACAGAATTCTTTTTCGTTACAATTGTAGCCAATTTACCATATGATGATTAATAATGTGAAGATTATCAAGTTAAAAATAATTAAACTTGTGAAAAATTTGTTGTCATTAATTATTGCTTCAATTTAAATTTAAATGTGTTAATTAAAATATCAATTTTTTGTTTTTGTTCTCTTATAATAAATAAAAGTTAATACATAGTAGTAGGATAAGAATGGGAATTCAGTGCTCCCTCACCTCACCTCTCACAAAACGACCAGTAAAGCATTGAGGTGTGGGCATCACATTGAATTGTGATCTTTAAGTAGTCGTCACACTTATCCTTGACTATTCCTAGAACGACTCAAACATCTCTTTTACATTATTATATTACTATAATTAGTAATATAATTTTAGAATTAAATACGTGAACACTCGTCGTTATCTATTGCTATAATAGTATAATCGCTAATATTATTATTATTTTCATTTCTATTTTCTACTGCGACCTTTAAAATAATAATATGTGTATTGTGTTTTATTTTATTATATTTAATTTGACAATTTTTTATACCTATAACTATTGATATTACATTTAAAGTCGCACCTCCACCACCAGCACCCNACTATTGATATTACATTTAAAGTCGCACCTCCACCACCAGCACCCACGGTCGTCACTGCGTTTAACATTAAATGTATACATTACATCGAAATAATGTACGTCAAGTAGCGGCCGCCGCCACCACACTTGCCCTTAACTATTTCAAGAACGACTCAACTATCTCGTTAACAAACCCTATAATGCTATCGTTTTAACAGCTATTACATTTAAGTAATTGTTACCGTCAAGAACATTCTACATACAATAGTTGTTACCCAACTCAATCACACCCCTACACGACCTGGGCGTAGGGCGAGTGGTAAATCCTATGTAAAGTAACGTAATGTAATAGTAGGTGTGAGAATGCAATCTAACTAACTAACATAAGTCCTCCTCCTTGAAACTAACCCAATGAGAGGGGTGCGGATGAAACCCTGCGTAAACTAAATTGCCGCACGTCTATAAATTATATGTAATAAATCGATTATTATGCGGAACAATTAAAAATTAATTTTCCATGGTAGGTACGCGTTAATCCTTGAACGTGCCTATAGTACGCGTTAAGTCCACGTGTTTCATGTGCCGTACCCCCAAACACAAAAGCTTTCTTCACTGACCCATAAGTACATTGCTATATTGAATATATTGCTAAACAAACGCCGCCGCCTCAATCGCCCACCCACCGATCGTTTGGGTAGGAAAAAGGTGAAGCCAAATGCGGTTCTAAAATGAGGCTCTAAATTTAAATAATGATAATCATTTTTATGAGAACAATTGCTATCATCGTCTACCAGACGCTTAGGTAATCATATTTCCAACATCAAAGGTATTACTGTATTATAACGAGTCTGCATTTCTATGAATTTTATCATCGACTACCATATTCTTAGGTCAACATATTTCCACATCGTTATGTTAATATTTATAACTTATTTATGTATAATGGTAGTTGTTTTAAATAAAATAATAATAAATATTATATTACAATTTATTTTTAAGATTAAACCACCTTGTTTACTTCTCTAGTCATATCGTTGTACTCGAAAATCTTATCATGCAGTATAAGGCAACATACTGATGTATCGTTTGGTATAGGAATTTTGGTTTCGAATTCAATTCGAACATCATCATTTAATTTTTTCATTCTGTTTAGAGCAATCAATAACGACTACAGGTGCTCTATCTTTAAATTATTTTCTAGTAAAAATAGGATCACCGTTATCCATGTTATAAAAGCTATTTGAATTTCATTTGGCATCATGCTAAATATTTATCTTCATTATTAATTAATGTTTAATTGTTTTTAGTATATAATTACAAATTCAAAATTACTTTGAGCGATGATAATAAACAGTGATCAAATCGACTCATTTCAGCTGTTATTTTGTTTTTACGTTTAGTTTTAAATGCTATAATCACATTTCAAGGTTTTCCGTATGCGTCAAAGTCTTAACGGCCCCTGAATGTTTTGTCGTTTGTGGTTAATAAGAACGTTCGGATATTTCCCAACTTCTAAAAGCAATGTAAAGTGGTTTACGAGAATCTAAGGTCTTCAAGAGTTTTAGTCTAACACTATCCTCAACGTTTATTTGTGGCATTCTCCATATTATTTTTGCAATCTTTATTTCACCGTTCGCTCTTTCTTATTTTAATGCGTTAATATCTACGCTGGATCTATACAATATGAGTTCTTGACGGATTTTTATTATTAATTTATTATTATTTTTCGACGTTCTTCCGCGAATTTCATATTTAGTTTGATATGTGTGCACACTTCAAATTTTTCTTTAGTCATCACTTTCATTTCATCTGGCATTCTGACATTGGTAAAGATTTGCCGTTTCAAAGATGCGTAACCTTTCATATATGTTGTAATACCAGAATTTCTTACTTTATCAATTTCAGAGTTTTTTCATATTTGATGTTGTAGCGCTATTCGCATTTCAACGTTATTTGACAGCGCGTTTTTCTAGAAAATGATTGATACGAATAGTATTCAAATTTTTTTATACTTACTTCAAAGTAAAGTTTTTTGTGTGTGTTCAGAATGTCTTCCATTACAACATGGAATAATATTGTAATCTAGTATATAATGTAACAAAAAGTATCTGATTATTTTTTTTGTCTATTTGTATATATATATATATTTGTGTTGAGCCGAATACGTACTGCGACGTCGTTTATCCGTTAAATAATCACGATAAGGTGTTGTGATTTGTTTATGCGCGTGCGTGATAGTCAGCTGTGTACTACTTCAGACCGGTTTTTGGACGGCATTTGTTTGTACATTCACCCCGCTCCTTTTCTATCTTGAACGTCATTTGCACTGCTCACCGCATACATTGTCGTCAAATGATTCAAATTGTTCTTAGTAATTTCCGGCACTGGGTATTTAATTTTTTTTGACTCCTACTCTAAAGGCTAGCCGTGTTGTCGCCAACAGACCTCCAAGTCAAACGCAGGACGTTTTGTCGGGGAATAGCCATAGTCGGAACTGGTCATACTAGTTCCCGTCCGTAGCGTGATTTTTTTTTTGTTGTGTGCGCTACAACTATTTTGTGTTATATATTTTTGTCATGAGTGACCGCTGTTTATTTATAATATAATTTTTTTCACTAGCGTCGGCTGAACCTGCCTCTGGTTTCTTTAGCCCTTCGGGGCTGGTAATGTACATATTTTTATAATGTTTTGAGCCAGAATTTGTTTTTTTTTTATTAGTGCGCCGTACCATACGAACTTGTGGAGAGTTTTTTATATTAAATTTTATGTAGGTGTACCTATTTATTTTTTTTATATTTTTTTTTTTTTGTCCCTAAACATAGCAGGCGTGTTAGAATACCACATGTCATGTTATATATATTTTTTGTGAGTTTTTTATATATAGGTATATAGGTACATTGG